AGCCTTTGGAATAAAGTATTAAGTGCTTGATGGTAGAAGCGGCTTAACAGAGTAGTACGTTGGGCGTACATGCATGTACTGTAACGCCCAATTTCTGGTATGTGATTTAAATAAAGTAATTTTCATTTTTGTGGGGTACTCGATGAGTCAGTAGCCCGACTCGTCGAGTAGAGACAGGATTACACGTGATTTAAGTTGGCGACTCGACAAGTCCATATTCTCGGACTCGGCGAGTCTGCCAGTCTGGATGAAACCCTAATTTCAAGGGTTTGCACCATATTTAAACGTTATTATAGCCCCAAACCAACCTCCTTCACTCCCCAGAGACTTATTCCCGAAACCCTAGCCTCCTTGAAGTGTGTGTGAGTGATCTTTGCCTTGTGAAGGAACTTTTGGTGCATTTTGGAGCAAGGAGAAGAAGATGAAGGTAGAAGAGCTCAAAGAAGAAGAATTAGATCCAGAATACACTCATCTTTGGTCATCCCTTCTGGTAATAAAGTTTCCATCTTGATATTGTGCTAATAGATCTAGTTTGTCCCCAAATTGTTGGTTTTAAGCTCAAAAACCCTAAATCCTTTGTGATAAAGCCTTGTGATCGAGTCATATCTCAGATCTAGCCTCTCTTGAGCTCCAGAAGCTCAAGGAGACCACCTTTTGGCAGCCATGGCTTTATTTTGTCTAATAACCCCCCATAATAGCAAAGTTTGAGTGTTATTGCTTCATTGCATCTTTGATACACGTAAAGTTAGCAACTTTACATGTTCAGATAGTCCTAGAAGCTTAGATCTACGAATTGGATGCACTAAAGTTGATTAGAATCGACTGTATGGAATATGCATGCAAAGGACTGGGCGAGTCATTCTTCTAACTTGACGAGCTGACTCGGCGAGTCGGGTTGCGAGTCTTAGACTCCCGGTTCAGGAGTAGCGAGTCTGTGTAGTGAGTAGAGTAAGGACTCAGTCAGTTAAGACTTGGATCTGGAAGCAGACGGACTCAACGAGTTGTTCATACGACCCGGCGAGTCATAGATTGGGTGTGTTCATATGATGAAGGAGAACTCGACGAGTTGTTCATACAACTCGGCGAGTCGGATGAAGTTAATTCAACGTTAACTTGGAAGAAGAAGTCGTCGAGTTGTTGCCGAACACGACGAGTTGAAGCAAGTAGAGAATTAGAAAAGGTGTTAGGGACTCGGCGAGTTGGCGGCCCAACTCGCGAGTCCGGTCAATTGAAAGTTGACTTTGACCAGGGATAAATTAGTCATTTTACCCTGAGAACAATTATCAATATCTGATTTAGTGTCTATGAAATTTGTAGCCAGGGAATTCCGAAGCAGCAGTCAGCAAGTTTCAGACTTAGCATCTCAGCAGCCAGCGTTATGAGGTGAGTTCCCTTCCAGTAGGAACAGGTCTACGGCCACAATGTCGGCCAGTTTAGATAGTAGTAGTATGTATGCTTGATGTCTTCGTGATTCATGCATGTGGTGTTATGTGTAGTATGTCGGGCAAGCCCGATACAGTAAGTGATTATGCTATACGTTCATGATATGTTATATCCAGTTTATTACAGACTTCAGTCCGATGTCGGGCGGGGCCCGATGCAGTGGGCGGGGCCCAAGTTACTCCAGACTTCGGTCAAATGTCGGGTGGGGCCCAAGTTATTCTGGACCTCGCTCTGATGTCGGGTGGGGCCCGATGTAGTAGGCGGGGCCCAATATTTGTTGTATGTGTTTATTATGTTGATGTATGGTATGTGGTAGTTTAGGGAAGCTCACTAAGCTTCGTGCTTACAGTTTCAGTTTGGTTTCAGGTACTTCAGCTAACAAGTTAAAGGGCTCAGGTTGATGGCATGACACACATCAGGGTTTTACCCTGGGAGTTATACTCTGATGTTTTCCACATGTTTTTTATATCGGTTTTGATTTGATACATTGTTATGATTTGTTGAGATACACGAGACATGGTTTGATAATATGTTATTCGAGATTATGTTGATAGTTAATGTTATAAAAAATGGTTCGTATTTTTGGGATGTTTCATATACTCACAACGTACAAGCCATACAGCATGTACGCTTAGCGTACAGAGGAGTACGCCCTATGTACTCAATAGATTTGGGTTTTGCGTTGTTTGGGCCATTCATTGGACTTTGTTTATTTGGGCCTTAGTGGGCCATCAGAAGTCATATATTTTGGGCTAAGAATTTAGAAAATTGGGCCATTACTGGGCCACTAGTGGGCTTGGGAAGTCTACATATTATATGGTCTTTCATGTTATGGTTTTGGGCCTTAGGCATGGACCAAATTAGATCAGGGGTAAAATGGTCATTTTACCCTAAGGAGGATTATTGGTTTTTGGACTAAGTGTTATTTTGGTAATGGTAGCTCGGGGAGTCAAGAGATCACCAGTTCGAAGATCTTCCAGCTAGCAGCTAGAGGATTATCCGTGAGATTCAACTTTGCGAGGTGAGTTTCCTCCTGTTTGAACATGTCGAAGGCACTAATGCTGACCCGTATTTATGTTATGTGTTTCTAGATTACGATCCGATGTCAGGTGGTGCCCGAGTAATGTTAATATGCCTGAGATCTTTGTGATTCCTGCATGTGTCTGTATTGTATGTTTCTGGATTACGGTATGATGTTGGGCGGGGCCCGAGGAATCTTTATATGTATGTTTTCGAACTACGGTTTGATGTCGAGTGGTACCCGATGAAGGAATGCATGTTTAGTTATACTTTTTATCTTTGTGATACTTGTATGTTCCTGGTAAGGAGGTGAGTGTGGATGGGGTCCCATATCTCATCACTAGTTGAGTGAAGACGGGGTTCCATAACTCATCATTAGCAGAGTAAGGGTGCGACCCATGATAGGCGAGGCTTTAGGAGTGGAACATATAGTACTGTGTATGATTCTTTATGTACTAGCATGATTATATGTTATTGTTTGTATGTGTATAGCATGCGGGGCCCAGTGATAGGCGGGGCCTGGGAGAAATAGATCTATATACCGAACGGGGCTCGATGTCAGGCCGGGCCTAATGCTGGACATTATCCGATGCCGAGTGGGGCCTGATGAAGGGGCGGGGGACCAATATATGTGATTATGTGTATGATATGTGGTAGTATGGGGAACTCACTAAGCTTCGTGCTTACGGTTTTTTGTTTTGGTTTCAGGTACTTCCAGTTGCAAAGAGAAGAGCTAGGGATGACTGCATTGCATACACCATGATGTTTAGCCTAGGATGTTTGCCCAGATGTTTTGATATGATACTCTGATTTGTTATTTTGAATACTATGACTTATGTTTTGTTGGGATGATTTTAATAGCTATGATTTATTTAATGGTTTAAAAATGAAAATTTTATCTTGATTTTTAGGATGTTACACCTACAAAGAAATCCAATGTATGTTTTCGTTTCATTATGTCATAATGAGTTGCATAGATTATTGAGTTAGATATGTTGTTTTTGTTGCCCACTATTTTGATCTTTGACCAAGCTCGAAACCCATCAATATTACATCATTCACCATGAGACATGATCCAACCCATTAAGGCATGCCTACACATGATCAGGGATGTCTCATTAATTCTAAGCTCCTTATGCGAAAGTCAAAATGGACCCCTAAATATATTTTTTATTTATATAAACAAAATTCGTTAATACTATAAAAACAATCAAGACAAAAGAACGATAATAGGATATTAATTTTACATAGTTACAGGAATTACGAAGCTCTCATAACGTTCTTGAAAGCAAAGTTGATCGGTAACTTTTCATATTTACGTGAGCTATAGCTTGCCGCAAATCTACGAATTTTAATTTTAAGCCAATATTTTAAAATATAAGCTTTTTTAGTTTTTAATTTTAGTCTTGAAATTGAAATAAAACAATTAAACATAATTTTTTGTCTCTGGATTACAGTATTGCCGATTGCTACTTTGCTAGGCAATGCATCGAATCAATGTAAAATTGGGCTCCTTCCAATACATAAGCTATGGACGATTGTACACCTCGCACACCTTGAAAAAGGCTTCGTTATGATTCAGTGATCAACTATACGAAGCAAAGCAACGATCGAACATCGTTCACCAAATTTTCTTGTTCCATGCAACACAACTATTCTATAGCTGTATATGTCTAGGACAGGACAAAGACAAATACCCGTCCCAATAATAAAATTGAATAATGAATTAGTAGCACCTATATTTAACAAAATTTCAGAAATAGTCCTTGTAAATTTATCAAGTTTTGCAATTTCAGTTAACTATCGAAAAACTGACAGGTGTCAAACCCTATTACTTGATTTTCTTACAGTATGATCAATCATAATTGTACTATTTGCTTAAAATTTTCTTTTTCCTTTTTTCCTTTTACTCTATTTTAATATTTAGAAAAAAAATAATAATAAGACCAACCTTATCCAACTATAACTCTTAACTCTAAGTCAAAACTTCTTTTTCCACTTAAAACAATGTCTAATTATATCAACATTTTTTAAAACTAGAATCCTAAATTTGCATGTTGTTTAAAGTGGGTTTAGAAACGAACCAATTTTAAACCGGGTTCAGACCGGCTCCAACCCGGTTTAGATCTATCCAAGTTGACGTAAAACACAATTAACTCGAACACAAGGCGCTCAAAATTCATAAGAAAGAAATTTTTAAATTTTACTGATTTCAAGAAACTGCCAAAAGCTTAGATTCATTTTTTTATATTAGACTACTCTACACTTAATTAGACAAGGGTTGTCAAATTTCAAATAATTAAATTTGATCGGAGATTACTAAAATTAACATGCTAACTAATCATGTGATTTATATAAATAATAGAAATCACAAGATCTTACAACCCATAAACAAATATAAAACAATCATACTTTCTTAAACAAACCTCATTAACACATACAAACACCAGACTTGAAGTCTCACTAATCACCAACCGGTTGTTGCATGAATAACTTGTCATTTCTTGCTTCCAACCAAAGTCAACTCTCACTCCCTACCAACATAAATAAAACCTTAACTTTCCTTCATTCCACTACTTCAAACACTACTCTACAAGTTCAAATGACAAATTTACCCTTCCGGACCCACTACCTATTCCCGGCTGCACTCGCATCGCTTCTTTTCCTCGGGTCCCTGCGAATTGTCTTAGACAATTTACAAAACAGCCACCACACCTTCGCCTTTTTCCGGCCACTGAGTGGTGGTTATCGTGTCATCAGACCACCCATTCGTGTCTCCGATGAAGAAGCCATAAAAGACGGCTGCAATATCTTTGAAGGAAAATGGGTTTGGGCAAACGGGTCGTACCCGCTTTACACAGAAGAAAGCTGCCCACTTTTGGTCAAACAAGTGACCTGCCAGAAAAACGGGAGGCCCGATTCGTCATATCAGAAGTGGAAATGGCAACCCGATGGATGCAATTTACCAAGGTCGGTCAAACTCTAAACTCAAAAACAAACAGTCTTTTTCTTGCACAGGTTTAGTCCACAGTCTTCTTTGCAGATGTAGTTCTCAGACTATATATATTTTACCTCTTCAAAAACAAAAAACGCCTTGAATTTGACTTCTTTGTTTTGATTTTGACAATTGATGTGTTTTTTGATAGGTTCAATGCTTTGAAATTGTTGGAGATTTTGAGGGACAAACGACTCATGTTTGTAGGGGATTCTGTACAAAGAAGCATGTTTGACTCGATGGTGTGTTTGGTGCAATCTGTGATTCCTGAAGGCAAGAAGTCTCTTCGAAGAGACCCTCCAAGAAAGATTTTCAGAGCTGAGGTAATCTGTTGTAAACACATGTACCTTATGCAGTTGTTGTTGTACATTACGCAATTTCTATTTGTAATGTTTTTAGGAATACAATGCATCTATTGAGTTCTACTGGGCTCCATTTCTCGTCGAGTCTATTTCAGATCATGCAACGAATCACACTGTGTTGAAACGATTGGTCAGACTTGACTCCATATCTAACCACAGTAAACAATGGGAAGGAGTTGATATATTGGTTTATGAAAGCTACGTGTGGTGGATGTATAAACCCACAATCAATGCCACGTTAGTTCATCACCTTTTCAAGATCCACACATACTTCAAAAATCAAAACTTTTTCCTATTTTGTGTATGTAAATTAAATACTAAAAAAACGTTTCAGGTATGGTGATCTTGGAAATGTTGAGGAGTATAATGTAACCACAGCGTACAAAATAGCAATGGAGACTTGGGGAAAGTGGATCGAAGCCAGTATTAATTCTCAATCACAGAAAGTTTTCTTCATGACTATGTCTCCAACACACTTATGGTGAGTAATTTACGTAAATACCCTTGTAAATGATTGATAATGAAAAGGTGAAATCCGATATTACAGGAGCTGGGAGTGGAAGAATGGAGATGATGGGAACTGTTTCGGTGAATCGGAACCTATACAAAGACCATATTGGGGAACTGGTTCAAATCTTGATATTATGGGGATTGTTAAAGATGTTTTGGGAAAGTTGAGGGTTGATGTGAGATTATTAAATATTACCCAATTGTCGGAGTATAGGAAAGATGGTCATGCATCGGTTTATGGTGAAAGGAAAGGGAAATTGTTGACAAAAGAGCAAAGATCAGATCCGAAAAACTATGCGGATTGCATTCATTGGTGTTTACCGGGAATTCCCGACACGTGGAATGAAATTTTGTATGCGGTTTTGTTACAGGATTATCGTGTTTCTTGATATTATTTGTAGAATAGAGAAAAGTTTGATTACTCTCCATGTATTTAAAAACAATGTCTGGAGAGGAAATGAGGGTTATAAATTGAAATTTTGGGAGGAAGACAGAAGGATTAATTCAAGAACACATCTCAATCTTCATACACAAGCATCAATGGAGCTAAAGTGGTGATAATCTATGTAAACTTTGTTCAACTAATCAAGGAGGTTTTTACTTTATGTTTACACGTTCTTGAGCTTATTTTGTTGAACATTGGTTTATTAAAACAATGTCATCTCATAAAGTACACAAAAGAATAAATTCACAACTGTATAGCAAATCAAAACAACAGGAAATGATGTGTAAGTACACAAAAGAAGACTAACAAGTCATTAGATATAGATGACTACCACTACGAACTCATAGAAAAGCATATTGATACATAACTAGTGTTCAAAAGAGCAACATGGATGTCATTCACCAAAATTATAAAGAATGGTAGTTACCTAATCATTACTTGGTAATCTCCACCACCAAACTGTGATGCAAAAGAGCCCTGCCTTGAGCTTTTTCTGGTTCAAATCATTACTTGGGGCTGAGCACCATCACCTGATCCTTGAACTTGGGCGGCTGCGGTGCTGGCAGCTGGTGGTGCAGCCATACCGCTAGAATTTCCCCTTTTACTATCATCAGCAAATCCACAATTGAGTTGGTGCACATCGATGTTCTTGATTGGATCAACCAACGACACATCTAGGGTTTGCGAATTCGCCGTGGTTGTAAACCCACTCCAAAACCCAGCAGAACGAAGCTGAGTAATAGTCATTCTCCCATCAATGAAACTCAATTAAACTCGGGAACAAGGTGTTAAAGCCATTAACGCGCCATCTATATGCTTATACGAAACAAAACTGTAGCCTTATTTCCGGTAACCTTATCGACTATCACAATGGCTTCTATGTTATCACCGTATTTAGCAAATAAAGCGCGGAGGACGTCAATTGGATGGAAGCTGTTAGAACGATTTCAGACAGCTCGATAACTTTACGGAGGTCGTCGTGGGATAGGGAGGTGGTAGATGTAGTGGCTGGCAAGTTGGGTGGAAATACGACGCCATTTTCTTCGAGCTTTCGCTTCTTCACGAGGTCCATCTACGAATTATCGGAGGGATTCATTCAACAACAGAAACCCTAGTGAAGATAGTATGCGAGTGGCACTGATGGGTTGTTTTCTTGAATGGTGTGGGATAGGGTTTAATTTGTAAAATCCTGAAAGTTAAGGGGGGGTACATTTGCTATTTTGGAATATGCATTTACGGCATCCTCATTATAACCCTTCTAGTTATATTAAATGGCAGATTTAACCTTCAATTAAATGACCCCACCTGTTTGCTCCTCCTTCCCTCCCATTGTTCTTTTTCAAATTTAATCCAAGCAAACTTTCTTGTATATTAAATAGTTTTAGTATAGGAGTGAACATTTAGACAGGACCGAACTGGTTTCGGAGAATATTGTAGACAGTGGATCGGATCGAATAAATAGTTTTAGTATAGGAGTGAACATTTAGACCGGACCGAACCAGCTCTTGGACCGGACTGGTTTCGGAGAGTATTGTAGACCGTGGACCGGACCGAATGAGACTTACCAGTTCAGGTCCATGTCTGGATTTTCCAGTTTTTGGACCCGTTTGAACTAGTACATCTTTACATGCATATGGTACAACTTGTTAAAATGCATTTTTGGGTTTGATACAACTTGCTAAAAACGAATATGTTGTTGGTTTTGATACGTTACTACTCGTTAAAATGAATAATGTTTTAGGTTTGATAAGTACAACTCGTAAAAAATGATTATGTTTTCCATTTCGTATGCCCTTTAGACCGATCAAACCTTGATTGTTTATATTGTATACCATTTGTTTGAAGGATTGTAACTCATTGAATATAACACAAAAACACAACAAAATTATAATCTAAACTCATCTACAAATTCTAAATTACATGTTGGAAATAAATTGCATGTCTATTCGATTTAAAACAAATAAGATATGGTTGTTTAAAGAATTCCATAGATTATAAAAGTTTAAATTTTTTGCTGAAAGTCTAAAATATTTGAGTTTTGATATCTCATATTTGAATGATTATAACTCATCGAGTATAACACAAAAAAACAATAAAATTATAGTCTAAACCATCTAAAAATTCTAAATTACACATTGGAAAAAAATGCATGTCAATCCGACTTAAAACGAATGAGATATTTTTGTATAAAAATTTTCACAGATTACAAAAATTTTAATTTCTTGCTGAAAAGCTTAAATATTTTTGCTTTGATATCTCATCTTTGAAGGATTGTAATTCATCTACCATAACACCAAAAACAGCAAAATTATAGTCTAAAATCATCTATAAACTCTAAGTTACACATTGGAAAAAACCTCATGTTAATCTGACTTCAAACAAATGAGATATGATTGTTTAAAGAATTTCACAGAATACAAAAGTTTAAATTTTTTGCTGAAAAGTTAATTTATTTCAACTTTGATATCTCATTTTTGAAGGACTGTAACTCACAGAATGCATTTTTTTAATAGGCTAGTCCAAAACAGGTTTTTACCCGAAACCGATCGGACCGGACTGGTTTTGCTTAAATCCTAGAACCAAGAACCGGCATGAGGTCCCAAAAAACGGTCTGGTTTGGTTCACTAGTCCGGTCCGGTCCACGTGTCCAAATATTCACCCTTATTTTAGTACCACATTTTTAAATATAGCAAATAACTACAAATTATAAAATCTCCAAGTATTCACCCCTATTTTAGTACCACATTTTTAAATATAGCAAATAATTACAAATGATAAAATCTCCAATCAATCAAGTTGAGGGGTGACATTAGCATAAATACAAAGTTTTGGAGTTGAAGTGCCATAACAATAAACTGTTTAAAACAGGCCAAACAGGGTACGCCTTCAGGGTTTGAGAAGAGCAGTTGCGAGTGAAAAAACATCTGGTTCGTCTCCCTATCCAGTCATATCACTAACGACTGGTTCGTCATAAATTCTACCAGGTGATTCTCATCTACCGATGAATCGACGTACACAAATCAGCAATTCGGTTTATCTTTGAAACCATAAACAGTTTACTTCGTTCCTCCATTTCGATGTTTGACTACCAATTGATCGACTATTTGTCTCAGAGATGCTGTCCTCTCCTTTGTAAGCTCGTCCCCTTCTAATTACTTCATCCCAAACCACGTTTCTGTTAACTCTCTATATGTATGTTTATGTGGGTACGCTCTTATTTATTCGTCAATTGTATCTTACAATGTTTAATGCTTTGTTAGTCGATTTGTGAACCCTGTTAATGTGTCCATTTAATAAGGTTATTCTACTGCTGACGATGGTTTATTTCTTCAGGAATTTATCTGTTACTTGTGCAAACAACATTCTAGTCCCAAACACCTGTTCTTCACAATCCTTTTATCATTTTGTGGCGCGGCTGGATTACAGTTTATCTCCCAAATTGGTATTTGTTAGTTCTTCCAGAGAAGTTCAATTACGTAGATTATTTCACTGCAGTGCTCATTCAAATAAAGCATCAAACTTCTTGGAATCAAGAAATCAACCTAATTCCAACTACCTTGAAAGGGAATCTTTGGCAAAAGAGACAGATTCAGATAACTTTTTTATCGAACAAAGATCAGATAAAGACAAGAACGAAATGGAAAGAAGGATGAAAATTGGATTAGCAAACAGAGGAAGAATTCCATGGAACAAAGGCAAGAAACACACTGCAGGTAAAGAATCTTTTAGCAAATAGGATACCAAAATCCATAGAATTTGAATACTTCAATTAATTGTAAAGTTCTTTCATACAGGGACTCGTGAGTTGATCAGTCAGAGAACTAAAGAAGCTTTAAAAGACCCCAAGGTGTGAAGTCATGTAAGGGGCTGTTGGTTTAAATATATTATTTAAACATAGGTCCCACATAATTTTCTTGCATTATAGTGGTCTTTCACTTATAGATGCTTGTGTTTTTCAGGTAAGAAAGAAAATGTCTGAATGTCCTCGAACTCTTAGGTATATTTATCAATTCCCACTTTTAGCTATAAAGAGATCAAAATGCATAACTCCATAAACATAGTGATTTATATATATGCATATATGTATCTGCAGTGAGGAAACTAAGGCAAAAATACGCAAAACAATTACAAAACAATGGAGAGAGCGATTGAAGATAAAAAGATCAGGTGAGAGGTTTATATCATTGTGGGCTGAAAGCATTGCAGAAGCTGCTAAAAATGGAGGACATGGTCAGAAAGAACTGGATTGGGACAGCTATGAAAAGATTGAAAGAGAGATTGTTCTTCAACAGCTTCAACGGGCTGCTGACGTGGCAAAAGCAAAGGAAATGGCACAAATACGAGCTGAGAGAAGAGCAAAAGCAAAAGCTGAAAAGGTGAAGCTTACTTTAAAGAAACGGGTGGCGAAAGTAAAAGGGTTAGTGAAGAAGAAATCAAAAGAAGAAAAAGAGGAGTTGGCAGCAGCTGAAGATTTGAAACTGAAAGAGAGATTAACAAAGGTAAAAGCTTGTAATTAAACATCATTTTCTTGAAAAAAAAAATTATGAAGCTTTTTTTTTGTTGGGTGGTAGATTCACAGGAAAAGATCTGTAAATGAGCAGCTTAGTAGTCGAGATCAAAGAGCTTGGGAAAGACTTGACCTTGAGATTTTGAAGAGAGACATAAAGAAAGAGGATATTTCTCTTGCTGATCAAATTCGTGAAGTTAAGAACAAGAAAGCAGAGATTTTGACAACTATGCCACCGAATCATTCATCTGCTTAACCATGTACTTGTTGGATGCAGACTTTTTAAGTATAAAGATAAGCCAGGGTAGTTGATTATTAGATTCAAGAGTTTTTGTGGTGGTTACAAGACCTTTATATGCACAACTTTGATGATAGTTCTGGAGGTAAATGATGTTATGTGATTCGAAGGTGAATGATGGTTTCAATCTGATTAATGCAATTTTGATTCGTAGATAATCATTTTTTAGACTTCGATAAATGGGCTAATAACATAAAAAGCACTATATTTTGTCACTTTATCCGTTAGATCACTAGTATTAAATTGTGTTAAAAAAACCATCCATATTTTCATAAAAATCTCATCACCACTGAGACCACTATCCATTTTTTGTTTTTCTATTTTATTTTTAGACCTTATTTTTATCGAAAAAGTTTAATATATTAAAATTTATAATCTTTCGTTCTCTTCAAACAAACATGTATATCGATATATATTGATGTCAAACTGCAAATTTCGGTATTTTCTTTTTTCGAAAAACCATTTGGTTTCAGTTTTGTATGATTTAGTCTTAGTTTTCCTGGTTGAAAAACTATTTGATTTTGGGTTTTCTATGATATTGTTTCATTTTTGGGGGGTTAAAAACATTCACGTTTGGTTCTTTTGTGTTTGAAAACTCAAACTGAAATCAAATAGTTTTTTCAGCCCCAAAAAAAGAACCGAAATCGAATGAAAGTTGCGCTCCCTGACTAAATTATAGAATTTAAGGGTGAAGAGATTCGGTCACAATTCATGGAGGGGTGAAGGAGGTATCGCCGGCGGAACAACTCCTTGCATGAAGAGATATCGCCGAAGAAAAGGATTGTGGTCATATATATATAATTTGTATACTTGCTACACTTAAGTTATGATAGTAAAGTTTATTAATTAAATATTGGAATACATAAAACTCATGCAAACATTCCATTCCAATTAACGAGTGGGCATAATATGTGCCATTGCCACTAGGGCCTACAAGTTTAAATCCATGTTGTATGTTAGTATTATCCAATCAATATTACTCATTCAAGAAAATAGTTTAATAGGCCCTAACGTGTTGCATGTTAGTATTATCCAATTAAAGTTATTCGTTCAAGAAAATAGTTTAACGGGTCCTAACAATATCATATTGTGCTATATAAATATTTCCACTTTTGAGAATTGGATAAACAAGCGATTAAGAACCGAAGAAGAAACGCATGGTATTGAAACACGGAAGTTAATATATATATATATATATATATATATATATATATATATATATATATATATATATATATATATATATATATATATATATATATATATATACTACTTATAAAAGAAATCTAACTATTTCTATAAATAGATTGAATATAATAATAATATTTTTTTAAGACGTTCAAACTATTAAGCTTGAAGTACAACCCATTTATAATATAATAATATTAAAACTTTAACCCTATCATTTATCCCCTAAAAATCTTGTATCAAATTAATAGAAGAATTCATTTGCAAATTGAACCCGTCAATCTCAACACTTCAGCCATTTGAAGCGGTCAATATCAACAATTCATAGAGGATATCTTCTCTCACATTGTAACAAGTCATCTCATAATATCTATCTTCGTAATCCCTTCAAAGTAAGAAATATACGCACACTCTCTCGAAGAACCCTAACCAGTAACCAAGACAGTATAACCATCACCACTACAGCCGCTCTGCCTCCTTCCTCCTTCAACCAACCACTATCACGACTACCGCCCTTCCTCTCACCCACGACATAAATTTTCTTTTGGAACATAACATTTTTCTTTAAAAAAATATCATTGAAAGAAGCTATTTGTCCCCGCCGCTGTGCGCGGGTAACGGCTAGTGTATATATATATATATATATATATATATATATATATATATATATATATATATATATATATATATATATATATATATATATATATATATATAAACCGAGAGTTGTCAAAAGAAGAAAATGATATGAAATGAGAAATCAAATCGTCTTTTACTCACTCTATGGAAGAAAATGTTTATCCCTTTGAAGGTTGCCCGTCTCTAAGGTCTCAACGAAAAGAAATGAATGATTTTGTTTATATGTCTCGAATCATGCACAAAATTCTCACTTATGAATTTCATTCCAAGAACCTTACTCATGTTGTCCATCCTAAAAAAATTAATGATTTTTGTTTCTAAGGGTTGTCTGTCCCAAGTATAAAGTTTTAACATGTGAATTGGTTCTATCTTTATTATGAATGGCAACCTAACTAGTGTTGGGTTATGAATTATTTTTATTGAAAATGTGAAGATGTTTTGATGTTTATCTAGAATTGGTCTTATATTTAATGGTCAAACTTTTGAATAATTCATCGCACAAATGAAAATGTACTATTATGAATTGTGAAATGGTTTCTTTAATGACTAAATTGAACAAATGGACCGAGAGTTTAACATAGTTGCAACACTGCAAAGAATGAACAGTCCATTGATTTGTGTGTATTAGATGAGGGCGTTTGGGATTATTTTTTAAAAAGTCTTTTTTATAAAAGACTTTTGGTAAAAAGATGTTTTTTAAATTGTGTTTGGATTAGTTTTTGAAGGGCAAAAAGGACATTTAATGTTGTTGAGTGGGGAAGTGTTTAATACTTGGTGGGTTTAAGGGTATTAATGTAATTTACTTTTTATTTGTTTCAAAAGTCACAAAAAGCTTTGTTTCTCACTTTTGAAAGATAAGGATTTTGTTCTTTGACAAAAATTGTTTCAAAACATCTTTTATACTTCACAAATAACTTTTGGATTTTTTTGACTTTTTGTAAAAGTCAAAAGTTGCTTTAAAAGCAATATCAAACACCCTCTATTTGAGATTAAATATGTCAATTGCCATTTTATTGCTCATTTTATTAGTTATGACAGTAAATGGCAAACTGGGTCTGTTGTTTTTCTATTTGCATTTTAATGTGTTGCTTATTATTTCTTTAATTGTTGTTAAAGTGACTTTTGAAGTTCCTATGGAATAAGTAGAGAAAACAACAACTTAAACAACTCTATCAATAAAGTGGTTTTTATTTTGTTACTACTTACTACTTATCTTTTATACAGCTATTAGCAATTTATCATCTAAAAATAATAGAAGTATCTTTCATAATTTATTAGCTTTTTGTGAAATGTGTTTTCAAGAGCCTTCATTTTTCTCTCGTTCCGGCCCAAAAAGTGTTTTGACCGGCCCTATTAACGATATTTGCTAACAATGAAATCATAATGCCACCATTTGAAAACACATAGATGCAAGATCAACAAAACCAACAAAACTTTAGTGGTGAACAAAGCTATACATAATAAGTTAAGCAACGTATGATTCTCAAAAGCACTAAAACCACAATAATATAACCCTCTTATGAACTACTAGACATGTCTTCTACTTAATTAAAACAAAATTGAATTAGATTCCAATATATCTACTATATGCTCACTGATAGTTCTGTGAAATAGGCATGTCTCTTCCAGGAATACCCTCACTCTGATACGCGTTTCCACCACCTACATTTGGCCCTGATCCAGATTGATAACCCATACCTCCGCCATTTGCTCCTCCATACCTTGGCTGCTGCTGGTAATTTTGTCCGCCCATGTTTGGTGGCGGCATCCCACCACCCATGTTTGGTGGTCCTCCGTTGTAACTTGGACGAGGAGGACCCCAATTAGACTGACCACCACCACCACCACCATGGGGCGGTGGTGGTGATGGTGGTGCTCCTCCCATGGACCCACCGGGTGGTAGGCGGTTGTTCTGCATGTTTTCTCTTCTCCTATCAAAGTTTCTTGACCTATCAAAGTTACGAGGCCTATCATTTCTTCTATTCCTTTCATTAGCTTTAGAATTGTTTCTGATCCACTCCTCATGATACTTTGGATCATATGGAACAGCCTTTCCATCAATAAATGGTTCCCCTGTAACATGGAAACACAAATGACAAATGCAATGAGCTTTTATTTTATAAGCATCATACACCAGGATCCATAAGAATGGCATTTGGTAATATAATGAAGAGTAGATGGAATGTGATACCTCCATAATCTTTGTTTTTGACATCCAAATATGAATCAGGAAGCACCCAACGGACACCAGGTAACTCTAACAAAAATAAAGAGAAAAGGTTAAATCATAAACCAGAGAATTTGACAGAAAGAAACAGCTAACTCTCATCACCTTTTAATTTATAGGAGTCTTCTTCAGGCACAAGGGCTCCAAAAGCATAATAGCATCTAGTTGAAACTGAATAAATCTTCATTCTTGCTTCGTCATAGCTAGAAACACATAGTAGAATTAATCCCAGAAATCATGAATATCATATATACACAATCTCACAATCTACAGTTACTTCCTGTGAAAGTTTGTAATGAATGATATCGAACGAAAGGCATAATTTAGATGTTAGACTGAATTGTAAACCATCCAATACATAGTCTCAAGAATTCAAGAATTCCACTTTATCGCAGTGACATGAATAGAGATCAAACAGCCGAATTTGTATAAAAATTGACAAAATCATAAGCAGTACCTTCCAATGACTTTCGCTAAGGTATTGATGTAGGAGTCAATGATCTCATCTCTAGAAGGCTCGCCTTCAGGCTTGTCAACCACAACAAGCCAGTGTTCAAAATCGCAGCCATCAAGAAGGATTGTCTCCTTAGGGGGACGATTAGACCAATTAGGATTCGAGTCGTTTAGAGAAGATCTGGTCAGACTCGTAGAAAAAGGACGGATCCCGGTAGCAACCAGTGAGACGTGGCGGAGATTGTTGGCAACAGCCACAAGAGGGCGGATGCGGAGAATAGAGGAGGAGGAACTGATGGTATAGAAACGAGAGATTAAGGTTTGATTAGCTGTGGAGATGAGAGAGCGAACGAGAACACGAGTCGCCATATTCAGGGTTTTTGATAGTTCTTGGGTCTAAAACCCTAGATGTCAACCGGATAAGGGAAAAGTAATGCCGCAGGGGTTATTTATACTTTCTGACGAATTTCTTTATAGAATATAATAATATATTTAAATTTTTATAAATATATATTTTTTAAATATGTTAATAACATTTTTTAGTTGTTATATAATAAATTTTTATAAATATTATTTGTTTTGAATTATATGATAATATAGATATTTTTTAAAATTTTATAATCCCAATTGTATTGATCATTTTTAACGATAAATCTAATTTATTCCCAATGACATCTACATAAATGTTACTCATGAATAATATTAAATATAATATATGGGTTAATGATATTTATAATTATTGTTATGATTGATTAATTTTAAAAAATTTATTTGTTTAAGATTTTAATTTTTATCATTATAATTATTTAAAACATCAAATATTACTTTGTCTTTAAAAGTAACAATATAATTTTTGTATATAAGTTTTTTATATTATTGTTATAAGTTATTTAAAATAACATATTTGAAAGCTCTCTTAATTATTTGTAATTTGGTTTCATAAATTTAACTTTTTTAAAATTTATTTTATCAATATTGTTAGTTTGTTTGATTGTAATTATTTAAAACAACAAATATTGTTTTTGTTTTTAAAGATAAAATTATAATTTTTTATATAATATTACTTTTAACTATTCTTATCGTAAGATATTTTTAAACTACTTATTTGAAAATTATTAATGATTATAAAAAATAGTTTCATGGTTTTTTTGTTCATTTAGGATTTGTTAGGTCATAAATTGTGGTTTATACTTTGCTTTTCATAAGTTATTAGAGTTCTCAGTCTAGTTACGAAAACATCATGTTTTGGTGTTGTTTGGACCGAAATCACATGTGATTTCGGTTAGGCTTATTGTTGTTTTGTTTGGGTTTTGGGTTGGGCCTTTGTTATTAGGTCTAGGTATAAATAGTGTTATTTTACCTTTGTAAAGTGTGAGGGGAGTTTTGTGGTGGTCAACAAGTCAATAACGAGATCTAGAGAGAACCGTGTGTAATCAAGAATCTTATGTACCATACTATCTTGAATATAGTGTGCATTGAAGGTTAATCATCGTGTTCTTATTCCATATTATATCTTGCATAATTCATTTGATTGGGATTCTGCACCATCATAGTGAAATCCGATTGATACATAGCGATTTGGGGACTTACAATTGGTATCAGAGCGATGGTTGGTAGCAATCGGGTTATTGCAAAATATTTTTAAGAGTTTTTCTTGGAGCTTCTTGGTGTTTTTAATTTATTTTTGACAAAATTTTGGCCATTGTTCTTCGTGTTCTTCATATTTTTGAGTCTTTGATCGAGTTTGGCATTAAATATTTGAAAATCTCATGTTTTTGGAAAGTTTTGGGAGTTTTAGGTCAAAATCTACGAGATCTCGGCGGCCAACCTCGTACTCAGTCAAACCCTAGAAGATCTCGAAGCCACAACCTTGTTCTTGGTTAGGGCGAGGGTTCTCGATCCGCAGCCTTGTTCTCGGTCCGAAGCTGCGAAGGTTCTCGGTTCAGACTTCTCGGCCTCGGATTTCGGTAATTGTTTTCGGTCTCACGTATTCGGTCTGAGAGATTTTGGCACGAGTCTTCTCGGTTGGGTTAATAGGCTTTGCATTTTTCGGTCCAAAAACTCACTTTTCGGTCTAAATGTCACGTTTTTGGTCCAAATCCTTCGTTTTCGGTCTAGAAACTTTTATTCTCGAAAAAGGTTTTATTTTTTTGGACAAAAAGTTTGACTTTCAACTTTGACTTTTGACTTTCAAGTTTTCAAGTTTGACTTTCGAGGTTTCAATCAAAGGGCAATTTTCTTGGCTTCACAATTAGTTCTATTTTTTGGTGAATAATGAGTTCTTCAATCACCAAGGTTAATGAAGCTTCGTGCTCTCAGTCCTGTGAAGCTAAAATTAAACATTATCATGATCAACATGAATTATTAATTAGGGAAATTGAGGACCTTAAATATGAACGATATACTATCAGAAAGGCCCAAAAACCCTTAAAAGAACAATTAAATGCCAAAACCAAGGACTTTAGAAAACTTCAAACAAAATATAGTGATAAATGTGAACACTATGACTATGCTCAAAAAAAGATTGTCAGTTTAACTACCGAGCTTAATACATTGAAAAATAAGTTTGAAAATGCATACTTTAATGTTGCTTATATAGGCTAGGGTTTGGAGAGGACGAATGTAAGTTGTGGAGGCTGAGGTAAGGGGGTTTTGATGCTCATAGTGTTGCTTATATAGGCCCCAAACCCTAAATATTAGGGTTTACCCGAGACATTAGTAGGCCCAGCGTACACAAGTGTATGCACAACGTACTAAGGCGGACCTTAATACGCTTAGCGTACTTTTATGTACGCGTAACGTACTCCCTTTTGGCCCAAGTTTGCAAACTTTGCCCTTAAACTTATCTTGGCTTGTCACTTCCAACCCTAAGGACTACAAATGACAAGGTAATTATAGAAGAGGGTTCGAGAATACCTTCCAAATCTCGGGATGTTACAGATTGACTCCGTACAACTCATCCATAAAACTTCCACCAACCTTGCAACACTTATGTATGTTATCCATACATAACGTTGGACCCTATAGACATTTGAATATATGATCCTACCTTAAGCCCTTCATATAACAAGAACAGGAAATAAGGCCAAACCGAACATTTTCAGGCTATAAGATCTTAGTTGTGTACAACTATGATGCATGCACTAAGAAACTACAGTAATGATGTCAATTTCATATAAGGAAAACCTTAGGCTATCAGGCATAATATAATCAGACAATTCTATCATGCAATTCCTGAAGATCCCTAGCCTTTCACTAGCATGTTGTTCTAACAATTCACTCAAACCAAGGCTCTAATACCAACTTGTAACATCTATAAAATTTCATGTAAAATTTAAACTTTTTAAACATTTCAAAACCATCATTTGTTTACAGATTGTTTTCAAAATAATCCAGTAGCAGAGTTTTCCCATAAATCACAACATGAAAAATGAGGGGGTGCATGATCAAGCCCTCGCCTTTCCGCAATCATCCGAAGTACCTGAAACAAAATCCACAACTATAAGCACGAAGCTTAGTGAGTTCCGCCAAAATACACGTACAACAATAACATACATATAATAACAACATATTATGGTCCCAATCAACCATCAGGTTGGAATTCCCAGGCCCTCAACCATCGGGTTTGAATGCCAACATACGTTGTGTCCAATCATCCTCGGGATGGTATACCCTCGGCCCATAACCATCGGGTTGGAATGCTCACAAACTATGAGTCCAATCATCCTCGGGATGGAATACTCTCGACCCACAACCATCGGGTTGGAATGCCCAGGTCTGTTGGCTCACGCACAAAGTAGAAAAGCCTCAATCACTAATCAAACATATGCATATATATATATATATATATATATATATCAAATAATCACATAACAATTTACAAACAGTCAAACCGATTTACGGATCACTAAGCATAACAATGTCCTATGTATCAGTATACCGATCTAACCGATCATAACTACATAGAAAACACCCTATCTACCAGGATATCGATCTAACATATCACAACAGAAATAAAGCAGGATAACAATCCAAAGGGCCAGCCTTGGTGCCTTTGACCCTTGAGTATAGCGAGGAAAACTAACCTCACAAGTAGTGTTGAACTGGATTGAAAGTCTCCGACTGTTGTCTCACCAAAAATCCCGAACTATCTAAAACAACGAATACTAAGTCAACCGTTGGAATATCAATCTTGACCAAGGGTCTAAACATAGGGTAATAGTCCATTCTATCCTTTCCTTAAGTTGGGACAAGGCCAAACTCCAATTTTCTTAATCCAAAAGCCCAATATATAAGGCCCATAATTGGCCCAATTTCCAAATTGGGCCCAAATCGCTTATTGGGCCTTACCCAAATATTCAGTCCTCTAACTAGCGCACAATTACACTTATCTAGATGATCCAGTAGGGCCCAAGCATTAAGGCCTAACAGATGTCCCAATTCCCAAAGCCCAAAATAGCTAAGCCCAACATGCAGAGTACGCGGGGCGTACTTAGCTGTACGCTCGGTGTAAACGCCTTGACCTAGAAAATGGGATGCTGACCACCTACGCCCGATGTACGCCTTGGTACACCCATCATACATTGTGGTCATGCAAAACTTCATTAAGTTCTTAATACACCTCGTCCAGACGTCCCAAGTTAGATCTGTACATAAAAAGAGGTCCCAAACCATAAAGTTTCCAACTTTATGGTTATGCATGCCCTATAAGTCCATAAACTCAAAACCCTTATTTGTCTTAACCATTTAAGACCTTTATAGCTTGCAGTAAACCACTAAATGGGTCAAGATAGCATTTTTATGGTCCAAAACACTCTAATTATTCTAAAAGGACAAATCCTTTAGTCTTAGAGTAGCTTAACTCATCAAGACCAAGAAAAGGGACTCATTTACTCATAAAACTTCCATGCAATATCTATGGGGAAATACAAGCAAAGGTAAATGATTTTTACCATCTGGAGTTTCCCCAATGGATGAAGAAAACAGATCCAAAGCTTGAATCCACACCAAGGCTCTTCAAGGAGTCTTCTATTCTTCTTCTTTTCAACCTAAAGAACTTACACACACAAGGCTGGGGTTTGGAAAACGTCTCAAAAGTATGGAGGCTGAAAGTGTTGGGAGAAATGAGCCATAAGGATACTTATATACCACCCAAACCGTAAATATTATGATTTTCACCTGACGTGAGTATGCCCACTGTACACAAGTGTACGCATAGCGTACTAGGGCACGCCTATTACGCTCAGCGTACTCCTCGTGATCCAAAATTACAATATTAGCCAATAGGGCATCTCATGGCTACACCCTTCCATCCCCAAGGACTAAAAATGACAAATTAATAATAAAAGGGAGGATTCAAAAATACCTGCAAATCCCGGGATGTTACAAAAAGGGAAATCTCCAGAAAAGCCC